TGTTGTAGTGGCCGGCTTAGGTTGGTTACAAGTTTTTCTGGCATTTTTGGGAGACAAAAGATGTGATAAAAACCCAAATGTAAAATTTTTGTGGTCAGGAATATGGTACTGTTTTTGAACATTTGTGCTTAATTTGCCCACTTGTTGAGGAAAATAGACATTAAATAACCTATGTGATATGTCAAGATATCTTATTAATGAAAATAAGATACCAGATATACTAACAAATTTCTGAATCTGCTTGTAACAGATAAGTGAACTGTAGATATAAATCCAATTGTATTCCTGTTAACCCTTTTGGGGCCTATGTCTAGGCCTTTTGTGTATCCATATGCTCTTGCGCTACCGTCCACAGGATGGTATGGGGTCCACAAATAATGTAGCCACTTTGGTGGCAAAATCTAAAGCCACCACTCTTTTAGGTGCCTCTAATACACTTCTGATAATCTTTTCTATAACTTGCATACTATACATGTCAGTTACACTGGTCTGTAGTGTAAACTTGCCGTGTCTTCTTTCTAAAAAAACAGGACTACATTAAGTCTCTTCCACACAACTGGCACTCGCCCTGTTTCGACTGACTTGTTGAAGATTGTTGCTAGTGGCACACACAGTACTTCTGTTCCCTCTCTCAGGAACCACAGAGAGATATCATCTGGTCCCACTGCCCTCACAGTATCAAGTTCACACAATAGCTTTCTCACCTCTTCCCCAGTTGTATGTATTGTGTACATCGCTTGCTGATGCATTTTAGTGCTTTCGTTTGCTGGTAGCCTTCCTGTTGCTACTGGGAATATCATCATAAATTTCTTACTGAGCTCCTCACAGACTTCTCAGTCATTCCCTGTGAGCTCTCCTCCTTCCTTCTTCAGCCTCATTGTGCTGGTCCCTTACTGTTGTTTTCCTCCTGATGTGGCAACATAACAACTCTGGATGCTATGTCATTCTCAAACTGGCGTTGAGCTTTCTTCGTATCCATGACCATCCGTGTCGGGCTAGTCGTTCCAATTCCTTGTTTCATGAGTTCTTTGCCTTCTATATTTTCTACACGATCTAGCACATTCAGCTTTGGACTCGTGCCCCTCCCCCGGGGCGCAACATTTTTTTTAGTTATGGCGATAAGGCTCGACCTTTGCTTGAAGAGAGAGAGAGAGGTACCAGAATACCTTTAATAATGTTTTGTTATCTATCATTCCATCTTTCTATATTTCTGTCTAGATCTATATATCTATCTGTATTATTATTATAGTATTTTTCTTCTTCTTCTTCTTCTTCTTCTTCTTCTTCTTCTTATTATTATTATTATTATTATTAGTAGTAGTAGTAGTAGTAGTAGCAGCAAGTAGTAGTAGTATAGTAGTATTAGTATTAGTATTAGATAGTAGTAGTAGTAGTAGTAGTTAGTAGTAGTAGTAGTAGTAGTAGTAGTAGTATAGTAGCAAACCTATAACGGGTGCATAAAGCCTGGTTAATGAAGACAATCAGGTCAAGGTGCCTCCCTAACACCTACTATTTTCACTGTTAATGTTGCAGGTCCCTAACGTCACTGTTAATGTTGCAGGTCCCTAACGTCACTGTTAGTGTTGCAGGTCCCTAACGTCACTGTTAGTGTTGCAGGTCCCTCAGGTCACTGTTAGTGGTTGTAGGTCCCTCACGTCACTGTTAGTGTTGCAGGTCCCTCACGTCACTGTTAATGTTGCAGGTCCCTAACGTCAACTGTTTAGTGTTACAGGTCCCTAACGTCACTGTTAGTGTTGCAGGTCCCTCAGGTCACTGTTAGTGTTGTAGGTCCCTCACGTCACTGTTAGTGTTGCAGTCCCTAACGTCACTGTTAGTGTTGCAGGTCCCTAACGTCACTGTTAGTGCTGCAGGTCCCTAACGTCACTGTTAGTGTTGCAGGTCCCTAACGTCACTGTTAGTGCTGCAGGTCACTCAATTCATTATTAATATTGCAGGTCACTCACCTCTTTATCAATGTTGCAGGTCACTCACCTCTTTATCAATGTTGCAGGTCACTCACCTCGCTGGTAACACTATATAGAGGACACTAACATTCCCACCTGTGGAGACAAGTCCCTGGCGTTCAACTCTACCACCTTAAGTGAGGTGAACCTTTCTTCCAACAAAATAGCCACTATCGACCCCACTGCCTTCCAAGGTAACGTTATTACGTTTATGGGAAGAAGCTACACCCGTAGGGGTCCTACAGTGCATTGAGGATAGTTGGTACTCCTGTAACACGGATGTTAGCAAACTTAGCCCACATACTGAGTCTCCGTGGTTCGATCCCCAGTACGTGTGGAAACACTGGGGTTTCCTTAAGACAACCTGCTGTCCATGTTCACACAAGAAGGAGATAGGTACCTTGGTGTTACCGACTTGGTGTGGGTCGCATCCAGGGACAAGTTTGCGGGAAATGCTTTGCACAAACAGGGGCTTTCCTATATGGTATGTCACTGATGTCAGCTATGTCTGTAAACGTTGTACCATGTACTGTAGAAATAAACATTTATTTATTATTATATTAATTATATTGTTATTATTATTATTATTATTATTATTATTATTATTATATAGGCCGGGGAGGGAGGGAGTAATCAAGTTTGATCTGAGAGGAAGGTGAGATTTAGTAAACTAATCTTTACTAAACTAAAATGAATTGGACCTGAATGTCTTTAGTTGAAGATTGTTTAATGTGGAGACAGAGTATCAAGACTGAGGACTGATCACCTTCTGTCAGTGGCTGAGTGGACTTATTACCTCCTTAATGGGCTGAGGTACTTGTTATTACCATCTGTTTGAGCTAAGGCGACTGATCACCTCTTATTTGATACATTTGTGGTCACATTGGTGCCTATACTAACCCTACCCCTATGTGAAATAAATAAACCTAGTTGGAATTAATCTTATTATAGTCACTGCACAGTGTAGCGAGCGCGCACGTCTGGAGTTTTACCACGTCCTTCTGATCGCGGTTCATCCCCACCATTGGTATGCTCTATAAATGTGGTTTGAATTACCAACAATATGTTAATTAAAAGAACACAAGTGCAACTAATGTGTATTTTTACATTTTATGATGTTTTTTGATGGATCAAAAAAAAAAATATCACATTTAGTTGCACTTGTGTCCTTTAAATTAACCTGACCAAGTTGCACAATGTTAGGAAATACCTGTCCGGTATTTTTATACCATTTTAATGTTCAAGTTGCTCCCTATGTTGATACAAACAAGGGGAAAGGGAAGGGGGGGAGTAGCTACATGTGTTCCATAAAAAATGAATTGTTTGCATAAAACAGGTATAGAAATTGAAGAATGAGACGCTGAAATGCAAGTCTAAAGTGCTAGGTAGATTACTAGAAGGACGGACAGATTTATTTTAGGTTCATATATCAATCCCCCAAACTCAGTAGTGCGACGAGTTCTCTGGGTTGAAGATTGTTTATATCATCCAGGCAAAATAAACTTACTTCTTTACCAGTAATTTGGAGTCGTGACTTCCTGGAAGTGATTCAGGACACATTTTTATAACGGTTTATATGAACAAATCCAGCTTCAGGAATAATTTACTCAAGCTCGTATTGTACATATAAGGAAACACAACATATAATCTAGATGATCAGTGAAGAACTTGGCTCAAAGGAGCACCATAACAACATCATATGGGTAAGAGATCCATTTTAGTTTATCCCGATAATATGAAGATTTAGAACAGAATGAGAACGTAGAATATAACTTTGGTATAACTGTGTCCTAATTAGGAAGTAATATTAGAGAGAAGTAAAGAATGAAAATTGGATTTTTATAGGAAATGCAGTTAGAAGCCTAGTAGATCATCTCTTATAACCGCACTATGATAACATGACGTAGATAAGTATGTATAATGGAGCAACTTGCAATGTAACAGACGACTGATGTTGTAAGTGGCCAGGCTTAGGCTTGGTTACAAGTACTTCTGGCAGTTTGAGGAGCACACAGATGATGATCAAACTAAATGTAAATTATGTTATCAGGCACTATGGTCACTCTCTTGAACACTATGTGCGTAATAATTGTCCCATATTGAGGAATACAGAGACAGACAGTATAATAACCTATGTGACATGTCAAGATATCTTATTAATGAAAATAAGAACCAGATATACTAAGCAAATTTCCTAAATTTGCTTGTAACAGATAAGTGAACTATAGATAAGTGATATAAAACCATATGTATTTCCTGTTAACGCCTTTGGGGCCTAGTTCCTAGGCCTTTTGTGTATCCATGTATAGGAGTGAAGCTGATTCATTACCTCTGTAACTTGCCATGATTGTGACCAGATCTACCTGGAGTTCATTACCTTTGTAACTAGTTCAGCTATCATAAATTTGGGGTCCAGTCACTGGACCCATTATGTACCTTTGTAATCTTTTGACTACCGCCCACAGGATGGGTATGGGGTGCATAATAAAGATATTAAACTAAAACTAACATATGCTCTCGCGCTACCGTCCACAGGATAGATATGGGGTGGCACAATAACTAGCCACTTTCGGTGGCAAAATGCTATCAAATCTCTGTCTGGCCATGACTGGGATTATCTGCCTAGTGACTACTGATGAAGATCTTACAATAATGAAAGGAACCGCGTATAAGACATTTTTTAATAATGTACAATGTCCCAGTGTATATATATTCCCCAGAGAAAAATTAGGCCAAATAAAGATTCTCCAAAATAGATGAAGGGGAGACTAAATCATTTATTAGAAGAGAACAGAGGAAATTCCAGGCGCATCATAGGAGAGGACGTAACCTTATTGATTAATATTTTCGTATTAAGAGAGTTAAAGAGTGGGGGTTAGGAAGACTCAATGTAACTGTGCAACTGTTGTGCAACTGCTAGAGAATTGAAGACAAATCCAGAAGGGTTCTTTCAGGTGAATATGGCAAATATTTATCAGGGAAAAAATAAGACCACTGAGAACAGGTTCTTTTAAAGTTACTTCCAGTCAGTCTTCACACAAGAAGTCAAAAATGTTATTGTAGCATTTAATAATTTTGAACGTGTGGAAGAAAACAAACTGGGCAATATTACTGTCACGAGTTAGTTTAATATGTTTATTATGCACAAAAATTCAATTTAAACCAGCAAATAATAGAGCCTACTAGACTGGAGAATACACTAGACCTCATCTTCACTAACAATGATGATCTGATAAGAAATATCACCATATCAAAAACAATATACTCAGATCACAACATAATTGAGGTTCAGTCATGTATGCGCGGAGCCCCAGACCGACATAATGAGATTAGTCACGAGGGAGCATTCACCAAATTCAACTTCAATAACAAAAACATAAAGTGGGACCAAGTAAACCAAGTCCTAACCGATATAAAGCTGGGAAATATACTAAGCAACACAGACCCAAACTTTATGCCTAGAACAGATTAACTCGGTAGCACTCGATTTATGCCACAAGGCTAATTCCTCTAAGAAAAAGGAGAGTAGATGTAAAACAGAAAGAACAGGCGCTCCTTTACAGTCGAGACGGAAAAAGAATAACAGAGCGGCTAAAAGAGTCCAATATATCTGAATGCTAGGAGACACTGGTCAGAGAATAGCAAGCCATCGAACTTAAGCTAAAAGATCCTTTAGGAGTCAGAATCGCGGGAAGAAAACTAAAATCCATAAATGAAATCGAAAGAAACCCAAAGTATATCTTCTCCTATGATGCCAAATCAAAATCGAGACAACGTCCAGTATGGGCGCCCCTACTTAAACAAGATGGGTCCCTACACAGAAGACAACAAGGAAATGAGTGAGCTAGCCAAGTCCCAATATGACTCAGTTTTTTTTAGCAAGCCGCTAACCAACTGAGAGGTCGAAGGGAATCAAAATGAGAATTTTTTTATGAGAGAGCCACAAAATTTGATTAACACAAGCCTATCCTATGTTATCCTGACGCCAAATGACTTCGAACAGGCCGATAAATGACATGCCTGCACTCTGCCCCAGGGCAAGACTCATGAACCGTGTTTCATCAAGAACTGCAAGAAGCCCCTATCACAGCCTTTTTCCATCCTGATGGAGAGGGAGCATGGACACTGGTTCGTCCCACAGTTACTAAAAACAACAGACATACCCAACTCCCCACCCACAAAAATGGGGGGCAGTAAGCAACAGCAAAGAACTACAACCAATAGCACTAACAACCCTATCATAAAAATTCTTTGAAAGGGTCCCTAAGAAGCAAGACACCACGCTCTAGAAACCCATCAGTTACAACCACAACCCAGGGCAACTGGGTTTAGAACGGTCGCTCTCCGCTCCTGTCTGTCACAAACATTGGACCAATACGACAAGGTTCTAAATGCACTAGAAGACAAAAAGCTCAGATTGTAATATATAACAGACTTTGGCAAAAGCCTCGACAAGTGTGACCCATGGCGTAAAGGCGCACAAAATGCGTGCAAAAGGATAAACAGGAAATCGGGTTCGAAGGATCTAATAATTCCTCACTAACAGAACACAGAGAGTAGTCGTCAACAGAGTAAAGTCCGAGGCAGCTACTGTGAAAAGCTCTGTTCCACAAGGCACAGACTCCAGCTTCCCATTTGTTCCTCATACCTATATCCGAACATAGACAAGATGTCACCACAGCAACCGTGTCTTCCTTTGCAATGACACCCGAATCTTCATGACAGAGTCTTCATGCAGAGAACCACTGCAAAGCTCCAGCAGACAAATCAAACCAAATCTTTCAGTGGGCTGCAGAAAACAATATGAAGTTCAAAACGATGAGAAATTTTCAATTACTCAGAGATGGTAAACAAGAGGAAATTACATCTTCATCAGAGTACAAAACAAAATTCAGGCCCAAAATAGAGCGAAACACCAACCAAAGACCTGGGAGTGATCATGGTCGGAGGATCTCACCTTCAAGGACCATAACATTGTTATCAATCGCATCTGCTAGAAAAATGACAGGAATGGATAATGAGAACCTTCAAAACAAGGAGGCCAAGCCCATGATGACACTCTTCAGTCAACTTGTTCTAAACTAGGCTGGAATATTGCTTGCACACTAAACAGTCTACCTTTCAAAGGCAGGTGAAAATTGCCGACACTAAAAATGTATATACAGAGAACTTTCACGGCGGCGCATATCTAGAT